ATTTTAATGCATTAAAGACTTTATGACTTGATAACAACAAATTTGATTTTTAAAAGGGCAAAAGACTTAGGATGTTTCTCTAAAGATATACAAATGGACCATAGAAAAAAAGATGTTCAACGTCATTGAATCATTCAAAAAAAGCAAATCGAAACCAATGACACCAGTTCACACCAAATAGGATAGTGACTATCAAAATAGAAAATAAAATGTTGACAGAAAAACTGGAATCCTCCAAAATAATTCTGTGAATGAAAATCCTAAATAAGGATTAAACAAAGAAAAACCAAAATTGGTGAAGCAGGAACAGGAGGAATACCTTCTTAAGCTAACACCAAAGGTATAGATCAAAGAATGAATTGTCTTAGTTTCGGTTGTTATTAAAGAAGTAGAGAAGCTGTACAGCAGTAGCAATTTTTTTTTTTTTTTGGTACCGAGAATTGAACTCAGGACTCTGCACTTGTGAGGCAGGTGGCTAAATCCCCAGCCCACCAATTGTTGCTTTATGAGTTGCAGTAAGCTATTTCTAAAAAAAACAAATCAAACAAACAAAAAAAAACAAAACAAAACTAAGCTTAACTCAATTCTTACTTTCTGATACAATCACTGTGAGATGATAAACTACTACACTGTAACAACAATGAATAATTTATAGGTATTTAATTCATAATTTTTCCCAGATTGTTGGTTTTTTTCCCAGTGCTAAGCATTGAACCTAGGACCTTACATGATTGCTATCACTAAGCCACACCCTCAGCTCCTCTTCTAGATCTCGCTGAAAATGACTATTTAATGAAAAAATATTTGGAAATTTTAAAGGGAAGATATTAGTCATTAAGTCTTAAAATAGGGTATCTTTTTTTTTGAGACAGGGTCTCACTCTGTCCTTCAGGTTGGCCTTAAACTATTTAGCCCAGGCTGGCCTTGAACTTGCAGCAATTTACTTGCCTAGCCTCCAGAGTGCTGGGATTCCAGGTATGCACTACCACACCTGGCACAATGAGGTATCTTAATGAACATCAATTTTTAGGGCACTCTAAGATGTAAACTAAGTTCTAAAATAAAATTTAGTATTTTGGGTAGGTTTACCAATGAAAATCTGACATTTAAAGAACTATGAGTAAAAATCTTAATCAACTGTAAAAAGTACTTTGGACAATTTTAAAAGCCAGTTTTAATACACTGTTTTGCTTTTTGTGACAATAAGTTGTACTTTCAATGTCAAAAAAATGGTCCAGTCTAGTGAATGTCTAAACCTAAACTGGGCTAGGCATGGTGGCACATGCCTATAATCCCAGCACTCACTGAGCTGAAGAAGGAGGTCTTCTTTGAGTTCAAGGCCAGTTTGGGCTACATAGTGAGTTCAGAGCCAAGCTGAAATACAAAGCAAGAACCTGTCTCAAAAAACAACTTAACCTGGTCTAAAAGTTCCTTCCTCTCTCCTAAATTTATAAACCTGGTTTTTATTCATTTATCAGGTCTTTCCATCAGGCTGGCTTAGCAGTTAATTAAATTCATGTCCAAAATTATTTAAAAAGAAATGAATCTCCATTATGTCTTCAAAGACCTAAAAAGTTTCAATGGAGTTATACTAGATATACTTTGAACTTAACAGAATGCCATCTAATTCTGTCCTATCTCTTAAAATGCTACAGACCCTATACTACACATGTGCTTATTGGTGAGTAGAACTTATCATGCCTAAACTAAAAATTAGAGAGAAAGCAATTTCTCAATTGGGTCATACTTTCATGAGACAGTCCCTGACAGACATACAAGTGTGCAGATGTATAAAGGACTTTCATTTAGAGCATGAATTTCTAGTTGGAGAAAACTCTGCCAATATGAAAAAAAAAAAACAGCAAACACCAACCGACCAAGAGATGAAACACCTTGGAACAAAGAGCTGAAAAGCAGTTAGGCCAACAACCTCAGAGTTGGTTTAACTGTTCTCACAGCCTTTGTTTTTCTCTCTCTGCCTACTCTATAGAGATTTCCTAGAATGCCTTAGTTTTTAATAACAGTTCCTGTGACAGTGATATGGTTATTAAATTTTATGATCAACTACTTTCTCTATACATAAAATCTAGATAATCCAGTATTATCATTCAAATAATCTAAAACACAGCATTTAAAATGTATAAGAAATATACTTATTTATGAAATTGTTTTTTTCTTTTTTTGGTACAGGGATTGAACTCAGGTGCTTGAGCTTGTGAGGCAGGTGGTGGAACCACTGAGCTAAATCCCCAGCCCTTTGAAATTCTTAAAAAGAAAAAAAAAAAAAGAATGAAAGGGGAAGGTAGCAAAGTAGCAAGGAATGGGGGATAAAGAAATTGAAAATGATCAAGATATGTTACATATATGTACTAATTCTCCAATGTGAATGTAACTATTATGTATTGCAAACATAAAAATCATATTGTATAAACAAAAGAGGATATTAAGAAACTGTCAACTTTTTAACACTAGTGTTTGGATTATTTTTTTCTTAACCCCCTTTTTTTTTGAGGTGGGGGTCTCACTATGTAGACAGGGCTGGCCTCAAACTCATCACAATCTACCTGCCTCAGATTCCCAAGTGCTGCGATTATAGGCATGCACCATCATGCCCAGCTTACATGTTCTTAAACACTATCTTTTCTCAATTTTGCTTATGTGCACTAATATCATTTATCCTAAATGAAATTCAGAATATGGTATGTTTCACTTGTAAAAAGTTAATTCTATGGACCAGGGATTCAGCTCAGTGGTTCTGTTGCCTGCCTTGAAAGCGCAAGGTTCTGAGTTCAATCCCCAGTACCAAAAAAAAAAAAAAAGTTAATTCTACCTTTGTGCTTTTGCTCCTTAGCATGTATTTGATGTAGTTTTCCATAGTTTATTCAGCTTGATGCTAGATCATAATTTTCTATGTAGGTATTTTTATTTCTTTATTGTATGCTTTTCTCAGATAGGGTCCTTCAATGTAGTTCAAGCTGGCCTGGAACTGACTTTGTAGTCCAGGATGGCCTCAAACTGGTGGTGATCCTCCTGCCTCAGCCTCCCTAGTGCTTGGGACTATTGGTGTGTGTCATCACACCTGGCTGTTTTTTGAGACAACATCTCACTATGTAGTTCAGACTGCCCTAGAACCTACTATGTCACCAGACTGGCCTTGAAATGCAGTGAACCTCCTGCCTCAGCCTCTTGAGTGTTGGGATTGCAGACATGCACCTCCATGCCTGCCTCTGTAATTTTCTAGTAGTAACATTTTTCCCCACTATAGAAATTATTGTCAGTTTTTACCTATGAGTAAAAAATTTGGAATAAATTTATTATTGTATGAGAGAATCAATATGCCACTGTTTCTACTTTATAGTAAGACTGTATTACTTTATAGCTGGGGATACAGCTCAGTAGTAGAGCATTCGCCTCACATGCTCAAGGTCCTGGGTTCAAACCCTAGCACCAGAAAGGAAAAAAAAAAAGAAAAAGAAAAGAATATTATTACTTCAATAATCATACAAAAATGTTGTGACTCTGACATGGCATCAAATCATTAATTTTTATTGAAATATGCAAAAACACTACATGTTTGGAAAGAAGTCTGGAAATAAAACATACAAAAGTATCGTCTTGGACATTACATAGTGTAAACGTTAAGAACAAAGGCCTTGAGGGATGGGGATTTAACTCAGTGGTGCTGCCACCTGCCTCACAAGTTCAAGGACCTGAGTTCGATCCCTGGTACCAAAAAAATAAAAATAAATACAAAAGAACAAAGGCCTTGAGTCAAAAAGAATCTGAAACTGTGACTCTGCCACTTGCCTAATCTATAAAGTAAACATTATTAAGACAAGATATATAGTATGTCCTCAAATGCAAGCAAGGTACCTAACAGATTGTCCATCATATAGTAAGCACTAAATAAATAGTAGTCATTATTCTGATTCATAGAATTATAAGGGTTCCCTTTTCCGGGTATCAGTTCAATAACTTTTTATAAAGACTATGTTCTAAAAAAAAAAAAAAATCACAGAATTAAAAATTTTCAGCTAGACAATTTATCCCTGACTTCTTTTACAACTTTATCTCCAGTGACACAAATATACTGAGTGCTTTTGCTTCAGGAATGTTGGTGTTCTTTCTGACTGGGAAACACTGACATCTGTTTTGACTGGCTCACTCATTTCCTATGCATTCCTCTCAAAGGTGTCCTCCCAAACCTGTATATAACAGTAATGTGCAGCATGCAGTATCTGTCTCCTCCTAGGTGTGCTCCAACAGTGTTTCTTCATGGCAATTAGCATTACCTGATAGCATAGATATTTTATTTTATGTTCTCTTGCTCCCAGACAAAATGTAAGCTTCTAGAGGGCAGATTTTCAAAATCAATAGTCTGAACAGTGTCTGACAAACAGCTGTATATAAGAAATACTTCTTAAATCAATCTTTAGTTAATTTAAATTTTTTTCCTCATTCAGAGCTTTTATTCAGTCAATGATATACAATTTGAGTTGGAGTAAGCAACTCAAATCACACTAAGAAATCCACATTTTGTATCTGTACTCCTTACAATCAGTGGCATGCATTTATAGGACAGGTCACTTGAAGTCAGGTTTCCTGATTGATAGAAAACAGCAGATGCAAGTAAATTTTTTTCAAAAATTTTCAGGCAAAGTCTTGATTATTTTAGTCTACTCTGATACAAATACAGTACCTAGCCAACAAATCAGAAGCAACTAAGGACTTCACAGGATATCAAGTATATTCCCTTAGTGAAAGAGAAAATATTTCATAAACCAAAATGCTAATTATATAAAGAAACCAGCTTTCAGTTTGACTATTTTTAAAATATCTAGACAATTACAAATGATAGAATACTAGTTTCAACAAGATAGTCTGAGTATATAATTAAATGTAAACACAAATCAATTAAAATTAGATAATAAATTCAAATTTGAGTAAAAATGTACAACAAAAGCTCCTTAAAATCAAAGACAGTAATAATAGAAAAGTACCTTGCAGTTCTGTAGCAGTCGTATGAGATGTTCGAAGCAATTACTGTTAAGAAAAATGGCCTGAAGAACAGGCCTATCTGTGCAATCTAACATGGCTGTGATGGTATCTAGGAAAGCAGGAAAAAAAAAATCCTTGTAAAAGTCAAAATTGAAGATCTAAATTTAGAAAGTTAGACTTTTCAATGTTGACAGAACAGATACAAATTAACTGGAAAATAACAGGAGAATTAGGAAACAAAATCTATAATTATCTCACGATATCTCTGGATAGATATTTCATACTTTAAAATATGTGAATTTTATATATAACTGATATACATTTCTTAGGGATTTAGTTGCTTTTCCATCACAAGGCTCAAAGTCTAACTAAGTGTGTCTCTTTGTACTGATGTACATTAGTAATACAGAATAATGACATTCATTTTTGTATATTGGTACATGCATATCACATATTTTTATTATTTTCATCCCATTTACTCACCCTCCTTTTCCTCCCCACTCACCCTGATCCCCTTATCCATCTCTAGTCTACCTCCTAGTTTCCTCTCAGCTCCTATTTATTTACTATTATTTTAAATATATTTTAAGAATGATTATACAAAAGAAAATGTGGTCATTTAACTTTCTCAGACTATTAATTTTTATTAACATGATAGTCTCCAATTCAATCCACTTTCCTACAGAAAAAGTTGAATAACTCTTGACAGAGTATGTGGGGGGGTGTATAACCACATTTTCTTTATACATTCATCTGTCAATGGACATCTAGACTGTCTCCACAGTGCCCCTAAAAGTCTAACCAACTGTTTTGTCCAACCTGATATTAAATAAGTATAACTCGTCATGTTTGGCAATACAGTCTCATTTATCATTACAAATTTAACAATGTTTTGCTCTCATTTTCCACCAAAAGGCTATCCCTAGCTAGAAATCAAAGGACATCCAGCATGGGCAATACCACAGTTCCTAATAGCAAAGAAGTCGAGTGGATAAGGACTCAAACTTATTCACAAACTGTGAGTCCTTATCAGATTTATAAACTTACAAGCCAGGTATTTAGCTCAGTGATGCTGCCACCTGCCTCGCAAGCGCAAGGTCCTGAGTTCAATGCCCCGTACAAAAAAAAAAATCACAAACTTACAATTCATAATAATTATAAAACACAACATAATAAAATAATAAATGCATCTTCCTATTAAAAATGTAATGGATAATTTTCAAGCAAAGTTTGATGCTCAAAATGTCTAAATTGATACCACACATATGAATCTATACTTCAAATCATTAACTATAGTATGTCTGGGAGGGGTTGAATATTATCAACTTCCATTTTCTTTTTTACTTAATTGAATCTATTTTAACTGTAAAGACAATATTTTACTTCTACAATAAAGAACAGTTGATAATATTTGTTTTAACAATAAAATACAGGAATACAGTAAGAAATAATACATACTGGTGAGGGAGCTTGCAGAGCAAAGAGACAGATATACAGGTACACAGTGAAATAAAATAAAGAGAGGAAAAGAGAAAAAAATACACATAGGAGCTCTGAAAAAAGAAAAAGGCCCTCAAGAGGAAACACAGATATTGAATTGACCCATACAGAAATATTATAAAAAGTTGACTTTTTTTTATCCAGTACCAGGGATTGAACTCAGGACCTTGCCTTCCCAGGCAGGTGCAGCACCATTGAGCTACATCCATGCAAAAAAACAATAATAATAAATTTTTTAAAAATTGCTTCTTAACATGAGTTAAAAAAAAACTATATGTAACACTTTATGAAAATTTACTTTCCTAGAATTTTGAAGACAGAGCTGACTTCCTTTTTAATAATGATACTTTTAGTGGATTACACTTTAGACAAATCTATTCTATATTATTTGGAAGTTAAAAAACAAAACATTTTTATCACAATTTAAAAATAAACACTTTATATACACTGGCGCTGTTTCAAAAGAAAGTGGGAAATATGAAAGAAGAAAACAGATCCGGAAGAAACTTTATTGAATACTTACTTAGCATTTTGATCTGCAGAGCTATGAACCGGCTTTCCCACAATCTGGACCTCCTTTGAATAGATAAAGCTGAATGATCTGAATTGAGCAGTTTAAAATAGTTCTCCAGAATAGTACTGGTTTCCACTTGTCGCTGGTCAGAACTGCTAGTGAGAAGGATATGTACCACTTCTGTAAGGCACTTCAGCGTTAATTCTACTTTCCTACCCACTTCTTTAAGATCTCCATCCTCCCAGGAATCACAATCGGCCAAAACTCTCATAAGAACTTCCATGGTGGCTGGAGAAATTGCCTGCAAAGCATTCCTCTGAAACAGCAAAGGCAAAAAAAATGAAAAAAATAAATCTAACTGAGGTTCTATCTTTGCAATGAAAAACAGAATAAGCCAATTAAGCCAATTTTCTTTTAATAAATCAACATATAAAAAATTTAGCAAATAATTTAACAGACACTGCTGGTGTTTTACATATTTTAAGTCTTCCCTTCCTTATTATGATTGGAAAATTTACTTTCCATCATCCTTTGCAGCTAAAGGTAACAGTGTTAACAGTTCTGCTCTAGGATGCATGGTAAAAGACCCAGAGAGGGAAGCAAGTTACCCTTGGTTCTTTCACCTTCTTCCAGCCTAAATACAGTATAGTACTAGTGAAAAATAAGTACTACTACTGAAGAAACTGCTGATGGCCCTTCAACATTCACTCTCCCCTACATTCTTTATCAAGAGAGCCCCGGATATTTTCCTAGACACACACCTACCCAGAATGAGGATCACATTTCCTACCTTTGTTGTTGCTAAGGAAACTAAGAGAGCAAGTTTTATCAGTTTTTAAAATCTGGATATATTTTACTTCTTTGCAGTCCTATCTCTCAGTCTGGTAAATAAGACTTTTTAAAAAGACAGCAAATGGGCAGGGATGTAGCTCGGAGGCATTGCATCTGCCTGGTAAGCACAAGGTCCTGAGTTTGATGCCCTGTGCAAGGTGCGGGGGCATGGGATGACAGCAAGTATCAGCTTTCCTTTCTTTTTATTTTTTTCTGGTACTGGGATGAAGCATAACTAAGATATGAGGGGTGATAGAAATATATGGTGAATGTTTAAATTTATGACAGTAAAAGACATACTGCCATTAATTTCTCTCAAAATACTTTTCCTTGCTTCTAACACACTTATCTAATCATTCTTTCTACTTTCTGAAGTAGTTCAGGATTGCTTATATATATATTTTTTGAGATAGGGTCTTTCTATGTAGTTCAGGCAGGTCTCAAACTCCTGGCAATACTCCTGCCTCAGCCTCATGAGTGCTAGGAGTACAGAGACATGTGCCACCACACCCAGCCTGTAATATTTTAAAATTTTAAATTCACCATATTTTTGATCAAACAGAGAAAAAAAGGAAGAATAGGGAAGGTAAAAGTAGGCTTAGCCTCAATTTGTGATCCTCTTGCCTCAGATTCCCAGACTGCTGAAATTATAGGCATGTACTATCATGCTAGAAAGTATTCACTTTTCACTCTTTAGAGATAGCTGGGACACGTCATTTGTCTCATTCACAACTGCCTCAATTTCTGGGCCCCAAATGCCAACATAATGGCCAGAACTCTAGAATCTATCTCATAGAAAGACAGAACATAAGAATAACAGACTGACATTCAGAAAAATCCCTGAAAACCCCAGATTAGCTCTGGACTGTTTACTACTTTTGTGGGGGAATGCAGGAGACTGAACATACAGCTTCCCACACACTCCACCACTGAGCTACAAACCAGACAGAGGAAAGTAAACTACTTCTAGCAAATCACGTATCAACTACAACTGTGATTCACTTAGTTTTTCTACCTGCAGGTACTTTGTTGAGTGCTTCACTTGTATACTGTTTAGTCATTGTAACTATGCTATAAATGTTACTATTTCCATATTTCAAACTAAAATATGTAAATACTTTAAGGTCAAACAATTAGTTTATGATAGATATGACTCAAAGGTATGTCAGTACCAAAGTCCTTGCTCTTAACACAAAACACAACAGAGTATATTTTGGGTGTAAATATAGAGATAAAGAAAACAAATATGCCCATGGAAAGCCCAGGCACAATGATGTAACCAGGAGACTAGACTTCATTTCTTTCTGTTCATTATGACAAGATCATTCTCATGTCTTCAGATACTCAATTCATCTAAATTCCCTTGTACTGACCCCACATTCAACAAGCAACTTTCTGGCATTGGTATAAACATAACTATAGCTATGTCCTGAGCACAGGATTTTTTAGTATTTTCAGTACATAAAATAAATTCAGCTTCTACTATCTACTTAATTTTCATGGTATGTTTTTATTACAGAAGTTTATTGGGGCTGAATTGACTCTGGGTACTAAAAAAAGCATCTCCCATTTATTCAGAAAGAGAATGGGATCCAACAGAATCACATCTATTTTCATTCATGTATATCTATTAATTCTTATTAATAGTAGTGAAGAAATGACGGAAAGGGGAGGTACTGACCCAAAAGGAGGATATCAACTAATATAAGAAGGTGTTTAGGAAAACTGAAACTGGAAAATAAGATTCTAAACACTGTTGCTCTCATTGTAAGAAGATTCCTATTTTCCACAAGGTAAACAGAAAAGGCCACATGATGCACCAGGAAACCTAAGTAGGGATTCTGGCTGAGTATCAAAAAAGGAACTGGATAAATAAAAGAAAGAAATTTAAGCAGTGTTCTGGAAGACACAGGTGGGAATAAAAGTAAGTCTTAAAAATGTCCGGTGAGTACAAAGGGTAATTGATAAAAATTATGTACAGAGACAATTAAAAAGCTGAAATAAAGGGACAAGGAGGATTGTAGCAATACTAAGATAGGAAACTCACAATATTTACAAATGAATGTCCAAGAAAGCAGATCTAAATTGGGCACATTTAAAAGAGCTAAATAAACTTTCCTCTTTAACTTTAACTTAACATCAGGTATTTTGTCTCAGCAACGAGAGAAAAGTAACTAGAGACACTCCCTAATGCCCAGACTGCTAACTTAATATGTTGACAGTATTATCAGCACATTTTTATCTTTAAATATAATTTAATTAAATTTTTAAAAACTTAAATTTTAGACAGGCATGGTGGTACTTACATACACTTTGGGAGGCTGAGGCAGGAGGACTGCAAATTCAAACTTGGAGACCTAGCAAGATCTTGTCTTAAAATATAGAAACACCAAAAAACAAACAACAACAAGACCCCCCAAAAAAAATAAGAGCTGAGGATGCAGGTCATTGCAAAAGCCCTGGACTTAATCCCCAGTACTGCAAAACAAACAAACATTCAATCAATCTAACTTTTAAAATAAAATGTAGTAAGTACACTGATGTAAAAGAATGCTTCATATAAAAGAAAAATCTACTCATTAAAATAGGGGAGAATTTTCAACCTGCTGAGTATGGCACCACACACCTACAATCCTAGTACTCTAGTACTTGGGAAGCTGAAGGAGGAGGATAATTCCAGGCAATCCTAGACTATGTAGCAAGTTCAATTCCAGCTTGGACTACTTAGCAAGACCCTATCTCATAAGACACACCAAAAAAGAATTTTCAAGCTAATGGAGAAAAAAATAAGAAGAGAGAGCAAGGGAATTCAAGGGATCTATGATTTTGTGTAGAAAATATTATATCTTTTTATTTCCACTAATCTTAAACTGTAGTGTACTACATTACATGTCTACTGTACTACTGTCTTCAAATTTAAATCTTTATCTCCACTAATCTTAAACTGTAGTGTACTACATTACATGTCTACTGTACTACTGTCTTCAAATTTAAATGTAAACAATAAAGCATGTTTTTACACTTGTGGTTTTATCACTGATAAATCATACACATTTTCATATGTAACAGCTGCTATAGTATCTCAAAACATCATTTATAATCATCTCTTCTTTCATTTTTTTAAATGAAAATTCAGGATGCTGCCTTGCAACTACCTCAAACTCCTGGGCTCAAGGAAACTTCCGGCCTCAGTCTCTACAGGTATGACCATCATGCCCACCACTGCTGTATCTTTTTATTTCATATGTTATAAAGAACATATATTATATATAAATATATCATATGTATATTATATATAAAGAGCACAAATGTATTTGGTTAGTTTTTCAGTACAATTGGTTCCATTTGTAATCTTACATATGTTACATATTTAAAGACATTCCGATAACAGGCTTTATCAAATTGCCAAAAGGATATATACACACATTTAGTAATTATGACAGAAGAAGGAGTAAATTCACACACACCTTTAGAAAACAAGCTGCTAGAACAACTTAAGTCAATAAACAGAACTTGCTTTATACTCTAAAGGAGAAGTAGCCAAAAGCCAACAAAAAATAGAAATTTACAATACCAAAAATTGTTAAAACTGTTTATTTACCTAGTAATCTTATGGTCAGTACTGTTGTTTAGGATTTTGGAACCAAGTAAAAAATGAAAAAAAGTTTAAGTTTTAAACAAAATATAAACTCAAAATTATATGGCTTATGAAGTTAAAAAAACAAAGAATACATTAAGCAATTCATGGAAAATCTCTGGCACTGTTAACTATTATTATATATTAGCTTTCAACACTGTCCTCACCTGCCCACCGGCTACAATGGCTCCAAAGAGATGCAATAAGCAACACTTAAGACTTTCCTTGAGATGTTCACTTTCCTGAAAACATTCTGTGAATACAATACACAAACAAATAAATATAATTTCTTTCCAGCAGGATTAATTTCTGAGGAATGTGTAAAATTAAAGCATGAAAGTTTATTTGGCTAAAATGTCAGAAGGCAAAGATGATAAACATTTTGTCATAGGAAAGAAAAATAAATAATTAGGCAGCATTTTGGTACTTTGAGATTTCTCATTTAATTCTAATAAAATTCCAGAGGAGAATATCCTGCTCCCATTTATAAATGAGAAAATGAGAAGTCAGCATATTGCCTGAAGTCATATGGCAACTCAGTAACATAGCTAGACGTTAAAGCAAATCTGATACAAAACTGGATTTTGTGGCTGTTTTTTTTCACTACTACTGTTACCTTTTATCAGTACAAGTGACTTTAGTCAATTATAAAAGGAAAGAGTTGGAAAAAATACTTCCTGGGTCTATTCCAGGGCCAATATCCCAAATAAAATTCTAGTACCAACAGCAACTTTTTTTTTAACCACTATAAATTATATTATTATTTTTAAATGTTACAAACAGACATGACATAAAACAGTAAAAAATGGACAAAGAAAAAGTAAGTCTCCCTCTGACCTCTTCCTCAATGTACCACAAAACCCCCATCTTAAATGAAACAAAAAAAGCAAAAGTTCCACATATACAGTCTTTCCTTGGTATCCCGGGGTAACTGCCAGGAATGCTCAAGTTCCTTATATAATGTAAGTGTTTGCACATAACCTATGCAGCTCCTCCTTTACACTTTAACTCATCTCTCAATAATGTAAATGTAATACAACTACAATGTAAAAGTTGTTATGCTGCACTGTTTCAGGAAATGATGATAAGAAAAAAGTCTTCATGTTCAGTCCAAATGCAACATTTTTGCTGATTATTTTTAAACCACAATTAATTCAATCTGCACTTGTGAAACTCATGGATACAGAGGGCTGACTGTACTGCATGGTGTTTCTTTTAAAAATTTAATATATTCGACTACTGTTACATCTTAACATATACTGTCTTTTTTTTTTTTGTACTAGGGATCTATCTAACTCTGGACCTTGCACTTGCAAAGCAGGCAGCAGAACCACTGAGCTAAATCCCTGGCCCTGTCTTGTTCATTTTTAGGACTAGAAAGCATTACCACTTTTAGTGATATACATTTATTTAACCAGTTCTCTACTGATAAACTTATGCTTTTTCCTTTTCTTTTGATAATTCTGTAACAAATAAAATTTACATATATTACTCCATACTTAAGATTATAATGATAGAATTATTTCCAATACTATATGTAGCACCACCAAAAAGAAACAGCTTTAAGGTAAAATATATTGATAGTTATAATTAAATTAAATCATTCTAACTATGTCAGAATAATGGGTGTATAAAAACCTAGCAAATTTGACAAGAATGGTTCCAGAAATTGGGTTGGAGAACAGTGATATTCAAGAACAGGTAAACAAAATGGACCCAAGGATCACCTCAGGTTCCTGTTCAGACACACTTTATAGGCTCCTGCACAGAAAGTGGGAATCGAAAGGAACACATATTTGTTGAGTTGGGGAGACAGAATTCAGTGCTTTGGGGAGGCAGAGAAATTGGAATTTGTGAAGAGGAAGAAGATACAGAGAAAAGTGCTCCAGAAATATGTATAGTACTTACTTTATGTTCATGTATCATTCCTCACATACAATGTCAAATTCCAGAAGACAGACAAAAAACTACAAGGAGGCTAAATAATTTTCTGATTTTAAAGAAATAGAAGATAACAATGTTCCATTCAGCTACAAATGAACTCAAGAAAAGTAACAGATAAAAAGACCTATCATGTAATTGCTAATTATAAAACTTAAGGATGACTATATTAATATTTGATAAAGCATGTAAAATATATTACCATAGGTAAAGAGGAATATTATCAAAAATGGGTAAGAAAATAAGACTTAATATGTGTTCATACCATATTAGAAAGTAATGAAATGAAGGTACTATATTTGGAGACCCTTTTCGTGAAGAGGGCATTAAAAAGGAAGAAAACCCATCCTTCCCAATGCTGGAGCCCAAGCAAAGGCACTGAAAGATAAGGCTGTGATGAAAAGCACAAAAAGTTACAAAAAAAGAAGATCTCTAAGTCACCTACCTTTGGTAGTCCAAAACACTGCAGTCCTAAAGGAAGCCCGAATATTTTGCAAGAGTGTTCCAGAAGAACATACTTTCTTACTACACCATCACTAATACCTTCCTAACAACTTAACCAGTCATGAAAAAAAAGATAACATGCACCTTTTATATTACTTGTGAAATCAATGTCAACAAGCATCTGATCAAACAGGTTGTAAAGAACCTCCATGACAATGAAATGACCAAGGTCAACCCTGATCGGGCCTGATAGAAAAAAACTTACATTTTTCTGACATGTACCTTTTATATTACTTGTGAAATCAATGTCAACAAGCATCTGATCAAACAGGTTGTAAAGAACTCCATGACAATGAAATGACCAAGGTCAACCCTGATCGGGCCTGATAGAAAAAAACTTACATTTTACTGGCTCCAGATTATAATGCTTTGGACAAAGTCAACAGACCTGAGATCACCTAAATATAGTTGGCTAATTCTAAATACAGTGTGGCACCACATGACAACACATCCATCCACCAGGGACTGCATATATGACCAGTGGTCCCATAAGATTAGAATGGAGCTGAAAAATTCCTAGCAACTACTGAAACTGTACCCAGCTAATGTTAGATAGTAACACATCACTAACTTTTGTGGTGATGCTGATATAAACAAACTTACTGGGGTGCCAGCTGTATAAAAGTGCAGCACACTCAATTATGTATAGCACACAATACATGATAAAAAATGACTATGTTACTGATCTATGTATTTACTATATGATATTTTTTATCATTATATTACCATAGGTCTTCATATTTACTACACTATAATACTTATTGTCATTTTAAATTGTATCCTTCCTACTAATAAAAAAAGTATTTAGAGTAAAACAGTATGTTACACTTCTCAGGCAGCAACCTCATCTTTCTTGTGCTTATCTACTGACTGCATTTAGGTTTGAATAAGTATGTTTCCAAAATGATGAAATTAGCTAATACTTCTAAAAAACAAACAAACAAACAAAAAAACCAAACCCTTGTCATCAAGTGGTATATTACAAATTTTTTCACAATAAAGAAAAAAGAAAAAAATCTGGAAATTCCTCAAGCAGCTGCAGATTAAACAAGAGGTTTTTCTTGAAAAAAAAATAAGATGTTTAATAAGTAAATACAAATTGTATATATTTATCACTTACAGTATGATGCTTTGAAATATTGTGGAATGGCTGAGTCAAGCTAATAAACACTAACCAGTTCCTCATTTCCTTGATACAAAAACCATAACAAGACATAAGGAGGAAAAAAATCCTACAAATCCATATATTGCTTGAATATAGATATAAAAATCTTTAACAAAATATTAGCAAATGAAATTCAATATTACATGAAATAGATAATATAAAAATAAAATCATGACCAAAAGTAGTTTAGTTTGAAAATGCAATGCTAATTTAACCTTAAAAAAATCAATCTAGGGCTGGGATTTAGCTCAGTAGTTCTGCCACTTGCCTTGCAAGTACAAGGACCCAAATTCAATCCCTGGTACCAAAAAAGAAAAAAAAAATCAATCTACACCACCAAGTAACAGGCAGAAAGATAAAACTATATAAATCATCTCAAATAGAAGTGAAAATGGCTGAAAAAGTCTATATTCATAGTAAAATTTATTTTATTTAATAAAGGATATCAATTTAAAAAACCATAGTTAACATCATAAATCCATACCTAACAACTCATTTTCCTGTACATTCAGGAAAAAGGCAGGAATGTCTTCTGCTACTTTCAACAATATAAAAAGGCATATAGTTTGGAAAGGAAAATACAAAACTATCTATTTTGTAGATGACATGACTGCACACATATAAAACCCCAAGGGCCAGGCATGGTGGCGCACACCTGTAATCCCAGCACTCGAGAGGCTGAGGCAGGAGGATCACTGTGAGTTCAAGAACAGCCCGGGCTACACAGTGAGTTCCAGAGCAGTCTGAACTACATAGTGAAACCCTGTCTCAAAAAATCAATCAATCAATCAATCAATAAATAAATAAATACCCCAAGGACTAATATAACGGTTACCACAATTTACAAGTGAATTTATTTAGCAAGGACATAAAACACAAGATCATTAAACAAAAATATATTTTATACAAAAATACTTTTACATAGTAAAATAATTGGAAAGTACAATGAAAAACAATCATTTATGAAGTGAACAAACAAAATATTTGGGATTAACAAAATATGTACATTCTATACATGCAAGCTATAAAGGGCTCTAAACTGAGCATAGCTGCATACCCCTGTAATACCAGGATTGGGAAGACTGAGGCAAGAGGGCCCTCTCAAGGCCAGGCTGGGGTACCTACTGAGTTAGAGACTACTGCCTGAACCATACATAAAGAGGCCTTGTCTCAAAAACAAGATATAAAGGGTTCTATAAAATATTGTATTTCTAAGCCAAGATACCTCTTGCATCCATCCACCAATTTGTTTTCATAAGCTCACCTAGAGGACCAAAGAATAGCTCTTGGTTTCCTGAAAAGACTCTTGCTGTCTTGAAACAATTTATACTGTTCTACTGGCACATTCGGTTTCAGTCTTGTGAGGCCAGTTCTCGCTATGGTTTGTCAAGAAAATGTTAATCTTATTATCTAACCGAAGTCAATTTTATTACTGGTGGAAATACAAAGTGGGCATTGCAATCATCTTTACTAATCAAACAAAAGACTTTTTTTTTTTTTTTTTTTTGTATCAGGGAACAGGACCTTGAGCTTGCAAGGCAGGTGGTGGCATCATTAAGCTAAATCACCGGCCCCTATCTTATTTTATTTCACATGAAAAATCAAAGAGAACTAAGGCAAATATAGCACCTTCTTGCAATATGAAAAATCTGCATAAGGAATACACTCAGGAAATATACAGTGTTATTTTTATATTCTCCAAATTTTTCTGTATTTGAAAAATATTTTTTTTTTTAAGAAAGAAATCTAGGGCTCTTATAAGTCACATATATACATAGTGGCCAGGTCACTTTTATATTCTCCAAATTTTTCTGTATTTGAAAAATATTTTTTTTTTTTAAGAAAGAAATCTAGGGCTCTTATAAGTCACATATATACATAGTGGCCAGGTCTCTTCAAGGTTGTAAGGGCCTTTTCTTTGAGGTAAGTGCTGAAGATCAAACCCAAAAGCCTTGTGAATGCTAAGTATGGGCTCTCCCAATGAACTAAACCTTCAGCTAAGTTTCCTATTTTCCATAAAAATATTGAAGTTGTAAAATATACTACCATCAGTAAAATATTCAGCTCACATTAAAAAAAAAAAATCAGCTCTTCTTAACAGAAAAACACCAAGTGAAAACAACAATCACCAAAAACAAATTACTCCAGTGACACTGCTCTTACCTGCTATCTTATAAATTCATAAATGTAAGTTAAGGTCAGATTCAGAGTAAGAATAAAGAATAATCAGAGTATGATGAAAATCAAAGTGAAAATAATTAGTGTATTATTGTACTTACGATAAAAGAAAGGAACAAATTCCACAGTGAGAGAAGCTGGTTTATATTTCTGTCTGCTCTTTTCCACAGAACTAAGGATGTGTCTATCATTCAAAAGAAGATAATAAATTATAACATGGACAAGTAGAGATGGTACAATTATAAAAATAATTATAAAACAAATTTTTTAAAAATTTAGTATTTTTAATTTGTATACTGAGTACTCTATCTCCAGGACTGACAGAATCCTGAAAAAGTTCAGCAAATAACTTAAATGGTCACCAATGAAAAATTTCTCCTAAGTTATAAAATGCTAAGTTATACCTAGTTTAATTTCGAAATAACTCAAAATTTAAAAAGGAACGTACCCACGATAGTAAATCTTTTAGAGAAAAGTACTCAAACTGCAACCCAAAAACCCACTTAATTTATCAAAAATGCCAACACGGCAAATAAAACTGAATACTGAGGTTTTAGTTTAGAAAAAACAACACATATAGTAACATTTTTTTGTCTTAAAAGAAAAACACATGTGCCATAGGTTTGCCACCACTAAACTAGTCAGTACTGCTAAACTGACAGCTGAGCCTGGTGGCTTATTATTATGGTACACTGAAGTTCCTCAGAAACCAGTCCACTCTGCTTTCTGAGACTTACCAGACACAATGCGTCCATGTGATTAGTTTTTTTCATCTTAATGATATATAGATCTAAATATGGGCTGAGATTATTTTTTAATGCCAAATCTGGTAGTTTTGATGGATATTTCTACAGACTTTGTAAGATTAACACAAATTGCATATGCTTTTACTCAGATCATTTCAATTCAATGTAAAATGAATTTCTTAGGCATGCTTGTATGGAAATGGGAAAAGATTGGCTACTTTTACAGTGATATTTTCAGCTGGTGAACTGGTGAAAAAAATTTTTTTTTAAATCACATGCATTTTTTTCATGTCCTGGAAAAGCACTTAATATTGTTAGATAAGCCAACAAAAGTGGAAAATAACCAAAGGACAGATACGTAGAAATTCTGTATATCTTATCTAAATATAATCTCCATTGGTTTAAGACACTTCCTATTTTTCTGTTTTTTTGAGACAGAGTCTCACTATGTAGTTCAGGGTGACCTTGAACTCACAGCAATCCTCCTGCCTCCAACTCCCAAGTGCTGGGATTACAGGTGTGTACCACTATGCCTGGCCTAAGACCACTTTCTTCTTAGTGATCATAACTGAACTATTAAAATTATTTTCCTTATAATTCAAAGCTATGAAGAAAAGCCAGTGGACCACAGAATAAGCCAAAAAGGCATAACTGAACTTGGCAATGGCAGAATGAAGTATCATGCTCGAGGTCTAATACCTAAATTCATTAGCAATCACATCAAACACCATTTTTTATTGCTTTCCAATTGACTTCGATTTCCAGTATATAAAGGGTATAAAAGTAATCATACTACCTTTAACACTTAAGATCTTAGGGACATAATTAGATCTTCCTATTAAGATCATTATCAAAGACACTTTTTCTGGTACCAGCGATCGAACTTGGGACCTTGCATTTACGAGGCAGGCCTGGTGCCACTAAGCTAAATCCCCAGCCCAAAGATACTTTTGTCTTTATGACAATACAAAACTTCACTATAGTTTCAAATAAAAACTTTAGTAATATAGTAAAAAATTAATTTTAAAAGAATGAAATATAGCCAGGCATGGTAGCTTAATCTGTACTGTACGTTCTTTTTGTTTTGTTATTGACACAGGGTCTTGCTTTGCATTCCAGGCTGGACTTGAACTTACCAGGTAGCCCAGGCTGGCCTGAACCCGTGACAATCCTCCTGCCTCTGCCTCCCAGTGCTTGGATGACAGACGTGCACCACCACACCTGGCCTGTACTATATGTTTTTTACTAGGATAACAAGGCTAAAAAATAAACACATCTTATACCATTTTTAGAACACAGCATACTTGATGGCTCCATAATTATTTGTTATTTGGGCCAAGCACCTAGCTCTTGGCCAATGCTAACACATATCAACTAGTTCTGAGAGTGCTGCAAAACATTTGTTTGCATCTCAGTTTTTTTTTCTAAGTTCATGTCCCCTGGTAAATTTAGCTGTGTTTCTTTTTTGTGTTCCTGTCAATACCTACCCCCAACATACAATTATTTATTTAATTCTTGTTTGGAAGTAAGTCCAAGCTCCTGCAAAAGTTACAGTAAGAAGTACAAAGAACATCAAATATAGTTTACCCAAGTTCACTAGCATTTTATCCTAAACATTACCACTGCACTTTCTCCCCATATATACATATATTATATACACACATATTTACATGTTTTCCAGATCACTAAGGGGAAGTTACACATATGAAGGGGAAGTCAGTCACCTCTTCATAATAAATGAGTATTTACTAATAAGAGGCATTGTTTTATTTGACACCAAAGAATACTAATAAATTCAAAATAGATAAAGTACTTTTATCTAGCCAACTATCCATATTCCAGCTTTGTCAAATCACTCAATAATATCTTTATAGCATTTTCCCCTTCCAGGACAGCTTCCTGCCTGGGGGATCAAGGATTTTGTTTGTTATCCCTTTAGCTCCCCTTTATCTAAAATATTTCCACAACCTCTCTGTAACATTTTAAGAAACACTGTTCTTCATCTGTCCTTTTTAAAACTGGGATGCTCTTCTTTTGGGTTTCCTTGGCATTTACTATTAGGTACATGCTGTATTCTTCCTGATACCATATGAGCAATGATGTGGCTTTCTTGGGGGATAACCACAGAGGCAGATGATGCTCATCAAGTTATCAGTGCTGACACTAGCTTTGGTAACCCTGGATTATCTGGTCTGCTACCATCCAAAATAATCACTAATGGGGCCAGGGATTTAGCTCAATGGCACTACGTTTGTCTCACAAATGCAAAATACTGAATTTGATCACCAGTACCAAAAAAATAATAATAATCACTAATGAAAAAGTAGTGATCTATGATTTTTCTTTTCTTTTTGCTTCTTTGAGACAGGGCCTCACTATGTATAGTTCAGTCTGGCCTTGAATTCAGTGATCTTCCTGCCTCAGCCTCCAGAGTGCTGAGATTACAGATGTGCACCACCATACCTGGCTCTGTGATATTTTTAAATGATTCACTTATCATACTCCTAATCAAAACTTTCCCCTCGATTTACCATAATTATTCTTAAATGTCAATTCTTTTTTCAACTCCAGCATCTGCTCTAGATTCTACTGTAGACAAAAGCTTCCACTTCTCCCTTACCTATGTATCACTGATGTAAAGAGCCTGATGAACCCTTCCAAAATTTTTTAGATTGTTTGTTGCAAACAGCTAGTAGAATAATTGGAGAATCAGAAGCAGAAATTATCTTAGTTAAACAACTGGCCTATGAAAATGCTAATTCTGCTTGCCAAGCTGCCCTTCGTCCTTTTAGAGAGAAGGCTGATTTATCAGATTATGTTCGCTTGTGTGCTGATATAGGTCCCTCTTATACTCAGGGCCTTGCCATGGCTGCAGCTTTTCAAGGAAAAACTGTAAAAGAGGTCTTATTTCAACAACATAGAAGTGGCCCTCCAAAAAGGGGGAATAATGGAAATTGCTTTGGCTGTGGTCAGGCAGGACATTTAATACGAGACTGCCCACAACATAAAGAAAATAGACCTTTTTCAAAACCTCCTAAAGAACCTGGTTTATGTCCTAGATGTAAAAGAGGAAATCATTGGGCTAATGAATGTAGATCTAAAAGGGATGTTATGGGCAATCCTATCCAGTCGGGAAACGGGCGAAGGGGCCAGCCTCAGGCCCCGTATCAAACTTTCGGGGTATTTCAGGATCCAACCCCTCGGATCCTCCCTCAGTCAAAAAATCCATTCAGGACTTATTCCGAGCCACCCCAGGCAGTGCAGGATTGGACCTCAGTTCCCCCTCCTATGCAGTACTAACCCCTGAAATGGGAATGCAAGCATTACCCACCGGAGTTTTTGGGACGTTACCCAGGGGTACCCTAGGTCTTTTATTGGGTAGAAGTTCCTCCACCATGAAAGGACTCATAATTTCCCCAGGAATTATCGATGAGGATTGTACTGGAGAAATTAAAATTATGGTTTGTTCTCCTTCTCAAATTTCTGTTATTCAGCCTGGACA